ATTGAGAAGCAGGATTGCCAGCACAGTGGGTTGCCTCACGCACTTGGTCACGCGAAGCAATCTCATGCACCTCCTCAACTGCAATGACTGGGTCACCAAACTCTCCATTCTGAGCACGCTTCTCCAAGTTCTGAGTGGTGCCTACTTGGAGAGCCATGGCCAAGTCACCATTGGCCTCTGCCAAGATTGCGGAAGCTGGTCCATTGCTGAAGCCACAATCGTTCATCACTTTGATGTTGTCCTCCACCTGGCACTGCTGCTCAGCCAAGGTAGCTTCCATCTGTTCGTTGATCACTTTTGGATCTCTCCCGTAAACCCTGACAAGGTTGCGCACCATGAGAAATTCGTTACGCATCTCAGAAGACAGGTTTGGGGGAATGTTCTTCACAAACTCATCTCTGCTGGGGAACTTCACTGCGATCATGATGGCATCCTCCAAAGACCAGTCGAAGGTAGGGTCTTCGTCATGACCCTGTGTGTCATCAACCAGTGTAGAGGGCTCCTTCATTTGCACAGTTGATGAACATATATATAATTAAGAATGTATACGTATGAATGATAAGTTGCTGAGCCAAGTCAACATTCAGGGTTTCCAAGCCCGGTCCTGTTTGGTTACTGGCGTCTCATTCTCCGTCTCTGACTCCACCATGACAACTTGACCACAGCCTGTGCAGACTGTTCATGGCCGGCTATGATAACATGTAAAATATGGTAACCACTGATTTCCAACTAACCTCCCCGCCTGATTTTGCAGTGTTTCTTTTGCCACGGCAAGACTTTCGAGCCCGGCGCGGATTTGGCTGTAAAACGGCCCGGAGTTGAACTGCAATCTCACTCTTTGAGTTTCTTTGAACTGCCTTTCGCCAATAACGCCTTGTATAACTCAACAAAGCTTGAAGTACATATGATTCCTGAGTTACCCAGCCGAAGCAGAACATGTTGCTGAACATACCGTGCATGACAAGTGAAACCACTTGTTCACAACAACCGAGTGTCATTCTGTGCCCAACGGATGCGATCCTTCTTGTACCTAGCCTGACTTAACTTGAAGTCGCCCTCACGGTCCAGATGCCGAAAAACATTGTCAGTATGTCCCGCACAAATATCCCCTCAGTTGATCATAGGCAACTGACGTTACATTTGCACATGTTAATGCACATTATAGATGTATATGGTACCATGCACACCATGTGGGACCAGCTGCCTTGTGGAGAAATCTCAAAGATGCCTATGATGAGCGGTAGGTATGTTTCCATGTCGGAGTAGCCGATGTCATACGAGCTGATGTCCGGAAACAAGGTGTTATCAGGCTTCTTGGTCTCTGCACACGAAACAAAGGCGTCAAGAGGTAGGTGCAACTTGATTGCGCCTTACTGCATCTTGAGTTATCAACTTGTTCCAGGGAAGTTGCCCGTGAACCCACATAAACAGATAAAGGGTTAATGAACACAACTCAAGGTTCTCTCTATTTGTTTTTCGATGCCATGCAAAGGTGGAGCCAAAGATAAAGCCATTGCAAACTCATAAGAACTGAGCTTGAGCCCTGTCTATCCGGAAACCATGTAATCCACCCTGAGACCCTGTCCCTTGACATCCTTTCCCACCATACAGTCCTCGAGTGCAATGCCGGCCAGGCATTGAAAGACCACACTTGAAGCGGCATCGGCGTTGGCACAGAAAAAGCGCTGAATGGCGCCATTCCCTGTGGTCATAGGTCGACTAGAAAATTCAAATTGATCTTACATTGGGCTCATGGTCACACATGGGATGCATAGTGATGGATTCAGGAAGCTCAGGATCGCTAAAGGTGGATTCAGACATCTTTGTTAAATGATTCTTCAGATGCACTCAAATTTGATCCCAATTGGCCATGGTACCTCGTGGTACCTCGGATCGATAGATACCAAGGGTCAGAACCCTCCTCACGAGGTTCCAGGGGTCCGACCCCTGCCATGGAGAGCCCGACCCCTGCCATCGACAACCCAAAGATTGTTAGGGTACAAACAAAAGTTGACCCGGATGTGGAAGACGTGTCCTTTCCTTACTGTTGCATCTGATGGCATTGTTTGTGCCTTCGGAATTAGAATTGTGAAGTTTCAGTTTGGAGGGTTGTTGACTAATCAGTAGTAATTAGTTTGATTTGTTTGTTTATTTACACGACTAATATAATTATATTAATTATAAGCCTTGTTGGGTTTCAGGTTGTAAACGTCTAGGGTGGTTTTTCAACGTTCACGAACGAAGCAAATCGATCCATGATGTTTCGTCCACCTGGAGACACAGGGAGGGGGTTTTATCTTTGGTCTAAAACGACTGCAAAACCTGGAGGGTGGCAGCTAGTACCTTGTTTTGCCGGTGGTGTTCAGTGGGAGGAGAAACCCCAGGTCAGAAGGGGGGGCTCCTTTTTGCAAACCCTCCTAGTCGCTCACAAAACGGGCCCTATTGAAAGACGACGTTTCGTCGTTGGAACGTCGTGTATCTTCGTCGTGTAGCTCGCAGGTTGGGATTGGCTTCATGGAAACCCCATGCCCTTGATACTAGTAGCTTCTTGTTACTAGTAGCGATGCCCTTTGTTATTAGTAGCGATGCCAGGAGCTACTAGTAGCTTCTTGCTACACTGGATTTGGAGGGAAGTCTCTCTTTGCGAGGCCTTGCTTTACCCGAAGGTTCATCCATGGCGTCCCTCAAACATATGTTAGAAGGGCCTTCGTTCCTGGAAGACACAACCCATCAATCAGGTCGCAAATTTAATGGTTGAGGCTATTTGTTCAGAAAGACTTCTCCCAAAAAATAAACCCCAATAGGTTCTAAAGGCTAGAGGGTCTTGGTACCACTCCAGAACACAATTGAAGCAGCACATGTTCCATATGAAGTAAATTGAAGTAAATAGATTAATAGTTAGCGAGTACGTAATAGTTGATGCAAAACTGGATTGAGCCTGAGTTGTCACTTGATTCCCTACGATTCCCTGCAGCAGAAATCATGGACCGTGCTCCAAAAGTCCTCAGCGAACTCGCCGATTGGACTAGTCTAGGCTAATACACATGATACACATGCAGGTGTCAACGGGTTTTCATATGGTCTTCTGAGGTTGCTAAAACCTACAGCTTTGTGGAGAGTGGAACCCAACATTTTGCCAAAACACACATATTCCTATGATCACATCTGATTCATTTGCGAAGATCCACCAGCAAGGTCCGTGGAGACTCGTACTTTGAATGACTCGTGTTTCCCAGACGTTTTCGGGATGGTATCCGTCCGCTAGTACTACCCACTGCTTCGTTCTGCCGTCGACTGGGCTCAGACCGTCTCCGGCGCGGGAACCCCGTGCAGGAACAGCTGAGTTGAAAAACGAGCAACCAAACCCACTGGGCAGAAGCTGATCATGGAAGACATGCAGAAGGGTGTAGGACTCACATCCTTTGGCAATGACCCAGCGTCATTCATAGTTTGACTGACCATACGAGCCAACTTGCGTTTCTTTTTGTTGGAGCCAAGTTGCAGGCCTCAAAACATTCACCAGAATAGGCATGGTGAATCAATCTCTCAACAGCTGACCTCAAGAAGTCCCAAACGCTGAACACTGACCCTCCGTGACACACGTGACCATACGAGCGCTGAGCACTGCATCCGCCATGGGGGTGAAGACCAAAGTCTTCTTCCGCTGGCACGGCGTGCACGTCCCAAGACCCCAGATCGATCGATCGATCGCCTTCGCCGAAGCCTTCGGACACGGATGTCCTCTCTTCGATGGTTCGTCCTCTTCGAACTTCACGGGACCCGGTGCAGTGACATCATGTGACGACACCATGTGACATCATCTGACCTGACCTGGGGCCGAAGAATCACATTGGAATCACCAGTCATTTGTCCTATTTGTCCCATTATATGCTTGGTTTTGGGAGCTTCAGCTGGCAGTACCAGGAGGGGTGGGTCACGAGTCGCCACATGTCGCCACCCTCCAAGTCGATGCTGAAACGGCCGTGGTGTGGTTCGGACCTCCATGGACGGCGCCCTTCACTGATGGACCTGCTGTTGAGTTCCCAAGAAGGAAGAGGAACAGAGGAAGAAATCCACGTTACCTCTTTCCTGTGCACTCACAGGCAAAGAGGTACGTACTTGTTTCCTCTATAGATTTATTCTCGAAATGCCAGCCACAACTGTTCATGCTCGACACACAGTTTGCGTACTGCAAGGGCCCACCATTCGGGTGGCATGTTTCTTTGCTTTAAAACATAATACGAAGATGATCAAACTTAGAATGCCTCGAAAACGATCGTAGGTTTATCTCCAGTATTCCAAGCCCCATTTTTGGAAGCAGCTTGACAAGTGGCCTCAGACACTATTTTTCAGTCAGTCCGTCGGTATAAGAGATGTTTGATGTTTTTGGTTTATCCGTCAGTTGCCAATTCATAAACTGCACGAACATGCTTTCCGCACATCACATCACTGGACACTTTTGTGATGGCATTCGAAGCCTGGAGGCCATCCTCACGTAGCATTCCAATGGAAACATTTCAAAGTTCGAAGACCTGGAGGCCATCCTCACCACAGCGTTCGAAGTTCTCCGCAAAAACCACTCAGAAACCCGCGTGGCAGGTGCCTCCCTTCCCCACCGCTCGAGCCGGGTCGCAGCGTGCGGTCCGGGTCGCCGGTCGAGTAACGCTGCGGCCAACGGGTCGTCGGTGCCAGGTGGCTTCGGATGAAGAGGTGAGGGTCACTGGCAGCTGCAGCCCGGCAGGGTCCGGGTGGAAGGATGGGGAAGATGGGTGAGGGTGAGTGATGAGTGATGAGTGAATGGGTCCTGGATGGTCCTGGTGAGTGGCTCTGGGGTGCAAGAGAGTCACCTGGGGCAGGTTGAAATGTTGCTCGGCGTTTGATCGATGTGTTTTGGTTTCACGAAATGTAGAAAACAGCCATGAATCCGGGACCTTCAAATGTTCAGCTGGTTATTGGGTGAGTAGCTCGTTGACAGCAGATCCGTTTGAAGCAGCTGTTGCTGGGTTTTGCCGTGAGGGTTTGATCAAGTTCCCTTTTGCTGCTGCAGTGACAAGCTGACGAACTTCCATTTGGGGTACAGCTTGATTCATGAATAACCCAACAACCCTGTAGTGTCATGGAAGTCTTGGATCCACAGGTTGAGTGCAGGTGACATATGGGTTTGTATTTTTTTGGCGTGTACTTCCTGATGTAGTGGTTGGAAGTTCGACTTGAGCGATTCATACCCTCGAATCATACCTCGAATCATACCCCCGAATCATACCCCCGAATCATACCCCTCAAAACGTCGCACGTAAGAACCAGGTGTTAAGGTGAAGTTTTTGGTTGGTCTTTGTGCCTTGTAGATGTCCATGAGCCAATGGTGCATGACGTTTGCAATTGTGTGATCCATGGGCACTCAATTTGGCCAAAATTGTTTGTGTCTTCTTGTGGGAAGAGCAAAGGCTCACATCCCAGGGGTACGAGCCAAAGGACCGCCTTCTTTTGCAGAATCTAATGGCCATACGAATCACACCCGATTCATGCCCGATTCATACCCGAATCACGCACCTCCACACAGTCTCCCACCATCTCCCACCCATCCCACATCCTGGTTGTTTTGGTGGGGCCTGCAGAGGGCCACTGGAGTCTTTGGTGGAAGAGTGCATTTGCCTAGTCTGCCCAGCATCCAACAGATGCTGCTTGCCTACTGCCTCGGCGCAGAGTGGCCCACTGCTGGAAGTCCAGCTAATCCAACAATATAACTTCAAAGCTGCGAATCATCTGCGAATCATACCCTCGAATCATACCCCCGAATCATACCCCGAATCATACCCTCGAATCATACCACCTATTCAAACTTCCCGGCCCGACTACGGTAAAAAAATACACACCCATATGTTTCATTTTGTTATCATTGCAATTTATGTTTCCATCATCGTGTTTATCAGATTTTATCAGCAGAGCTTTGTCGGTGGGCATTGTGTTTTTCATGCACCTTGATGTGAAAACGCAACTGCCTCTCACGATCACGTTCACCATTCACTACTAATAACAGGGGTGTGGCTCGGCTCTTTTTTGCTGCTTGATATTTGCCATTCATTGAACAAAGCAACCGTGCAGCCTGTGTATGATTTACGGTGTGCCCATATCGATGCAAAAGACCAAACCGTTAAACGAGGTCAAACTGTAAGAACGAAGGTGCTGAAGATGCAAACGAATTTTTAAATGATCCAGAGCATCAGAGTGCACTGCACAATTATACAAATAATATATAAATATCAACGTGACAAACCCACGGTTTTGAGACCCAAAGCAAAAACGATCATGATGCCATCATTTTGTGTGCCTAGCAAATTGATGTATCCAGTGGGGCCAGGAGCTATGGGATGCCGATGCGGTATGTGATGGTCCAAAGGCCTCGGTATTGGTGGGGTTTGCTGGAGATAGACACAGTGAAACTCATAGAATCAACAGAGTTCTTCTCCAAGTCCGATTCCGTCTTGGAGGAACAGTTTGTTTCAGCCTCATATCATTGGTATGCCATTGATTCCAACAAAACCTTGTTTTTTGGCGAGACAAAAACGGGTGTTTGCTCCAGCAAACTCCTTTGGATTCCTTTGGGGCACTGACCAACCGCGCGGCAGCCCTTCTGCCGGTGAACCCCGAACGCGTCTTTGGCGCTCAGCGAGGTGATGAACTGGGCAGCTGGGATACGAGTCAAGCGGTGCCCTTGAGCCGCGTGGAACAGCCGGGACCGCAGATCTCCGTGGAGAGGAGGTGGATCGATGTCTTTGGAAGTTGGGTGGATCGCGAACGGAGGAAGGAGGCCAGGGTGCCGGTGACGAACTTCCCACCTCAGTCAGTGGTTGTCATCCACGTCATCGTCATCCCGGTGTTTTTGGCGGCAGAAAAGCATGTACCCAGCCACTTGAGGTGCAAGAACTGCTGGTGGAGCGTTCAGGGTGTCCGGTGTCTTGGCGGAAAGCGTCGGAAAGCGTCGGAACAGGGCGAGACTTAAGGGAGTCCGGGGGAGGGGAACAAGGAAGCATGATGAAGCAGCATGTGTCTGAGATCTTGTGCACCTCCCAAACTCGGAGTGCACAGGATTTACAGCGGGTTAGGTGCAGTGAAATTGCAGGATTTCCACAGCGCCGATGATTCTCTTCTTGCAGTAGGACAAAACATGGCACAACAAACCCTTTTCCCAGCCCCAGTTGCCCAACTTGATGAGTAAACGAAGTGACACTTTGCTCTTCAGCATCACCCAGCCCAAATCTCCTTTTCAGCTGGGGGGTAGACCTACGAACTTCAGCTGGGCACCCCGGGTCCATGGAGCTCTCTGGAGCGCAGGAGGGGCGTACTGGAGCTCGTATCGTTTCGTTCAGGGCACCACGAGTCGGGTTGGGGTGAACCTTGCGGTGTGGGGTGTCCACGGTGTCCAAGAATGGCCTGCAGTCCACAGAGGTGAAGGATGGTGAAAGGCTTAAGGGGTGTTCATGAAGCACCCCCTTCTATCATATTGATCTTATTGTGGGTCCTGAAAATGTGTGTGTGTGTGTAACCCTTGGAATCACAGGGATCCTTTCGGATTGTTTTTGCTTTTGTCTCTTCGTTATGCAGCAGGGGGGCAATCCCACGTTGCAGTTGATTGCCCAACGAAGAGGGCTGCAATGTGGCGGATATCCGGAAGGGACGCCTTCTGGACGTACCTGCTTGGTTGTGGCGTTGACAAGCTTTCACTCCAATCTTCTGGTAAAGGGCTAATGAGTTCTGCAGACGTGCACGGACCGCCGTCAGCCTGTTCGACCCGCGATCGTCGTTCGTTTCCTTCCTTTTTGGGCCACTTTTCCGTTTGAAGACCCCCAGGATTCGCTGGTTCCCTACTGGTACTCTTAGGAAATGGAACCCTAGGCCGGCGTGTGGCACCGCTTTCAGTTCAGTATGCATATCCATAAGTGTGTGTGTGGGTGTTGGTGGGTGGAACTTTTGAAAAGAATCGTGTTCAAGGCTGAATGAATTGGTGTGGTTGACGAAGTTGACGGCCCTTCAGACTCGTTTGGAAACTCTTGTCCTGGTGTTTTCGTCCAATCTGAGGATTCCGTTGAAGGAGCACTTCGAGCCACTTGGGCGAGTGATTCACTGGACGAGGCTTCGGTGGTGAAGCCATTCGAAGGGTGTTTCTTCCCAAGGGCCATGTGAAGCGATGCGAGTCGCCGGAACGTTCATTTTTGGGTTTGGAACGTTGGTCGCACACGAACGGAGCAATCACACATTTTCAGCAGATTGCTAGCACCCGAACCCTTGAGGGAGAGATGTTCTAGTTGGCCTTACCCTGGCCCACAGGACTTGTCATTCTCAAATTCTGACTCTCACCCAAAAATCACATCGAGTTCAAGACTGCCGTCGAGTCGACGGCATTTTGAGCTCTAGGCCCTGGCAAAGACTTGAACTCTAAATCTCAGTCACACTGTCGGACAGGCACCCGTCCATGAAAACCACCACCAGAGTCGTTAGCTCCTTTTTCAGGTGTTAGACTGTCCGGACAGGGTCCCTTGACAGAAATCGATTGGATTCAAGATATTCACCCGTGAAGCTTGATCAATCATGAGGCCAAAAATCGGTTGGTCAGGCCGCTCGGTCCGGCCACCCCGGTCCGCCCCGTCCGGAACCGCTCTGGGAGAGTCCACGGGAGCGGCGGCGTCTCGGGGCGAAGTGAGGTACCGCTATGCCATTTTTAAGGCTCAAAGCGACGACTTCTTACGCGACCTGGCGGCAGGTGGGGATGGCAACATGTGGAGAACAGTGAGGAGCAGTTCCTTTGTTTAATAAATTGCGATCTTGTGAATTGCAAGCTTCAGTCTTGGTCCTGTTTGGAATGGGTGATGGTCTGGGTCCGTGCTTGGTTTCTGCACGCGAAGCCGGCGAAGCCTTGGGCCACCTTGATCACGGTCCGCACTGCTGGCGTCTGTCTCCTGCGACCTTTGGAAGTTGTCTCCATCGAAGTCTTGGGGGTCCAACCAGGACCTGCTGGGAGCGCTCCCACCTCCTTTTGGATTCTACCTCACGAACCATCACGAGTCTTGGCCTTCCATCTCACAAAAATCCAATCCTAGGATGGACCGTGGAGATGGAGGAACCCCACTTTGCCGTGGTCCGACGGACCCAGCCGATGCGGAGAGACCTCGCTGGAGTCCAGGGTCGGAGGATGGGAGGATTGGATCGGGATCGTTTGGGATACCCACCGGAGTGTAGCTGGAGTCACTCCGTATGCAACAAACAGGATGTAACATGAAGAAAGTCCTTGAGAATATGGATTGAGAATATGGAGAGCAGTTGGGTTTCGACGGTATAGAGTGATATTTGGTACGATGTGACATCAGAACCAAAGGATGTTTCTTGCAGTCGACCCTTCCGGAGGTGTTGGGTAGGTAGCTATGGGTAGCCGCCAGTTGTAAGCTAAGGTTGAGGGCATGTTTGTTGGCAAAAGACCTGTGCGATGGCACTTTTTTTGGATGGCATTTTGCGTTCCAGTGCAATGAATGGGTATGTCGGTATGTCACATGTCTATTTTAGGAGGTTTTGATTTTTTGATTTTTGTTGGTGACATATTCTTTGCAGTGATCAATGGGCTTCATTGTACTTAGTTCATTTTGCATCTCTTGCTGTTTCATAGCAACAAGAGATTTGGGAGACCATACTGACAGATGTTTGTCCGTTTAAAATGAACCCTTGAAAACACCTGGATAGGTTTTCCAAGCCAGCATGTCCCACCTAGGCCACCGGGCGGCACATGACCCTGGAAGACGATGGCGGCCGCTGCCGGGCGACCGGCGACGATGAGATCATGCAGGTGCGTGCCGACGATGAGATGTTCGAAAACGAACCTGAGGGACCTTTGGATCACCAACTCTTCGGTTGAAAGGACTGAGGGACCCCTTTGGATCACCAACCTGAGGGACCTTTGGATCACCAAAACATTGTTTTTTCCTTTCAAAATAGGGGTCGTGCCGGAGGTCTATGGTTGGAAAAATGCTCCACACGCAAGACGGCGAGTGGAGATGACGGCCCCCCATCGGCGAAAACCATGAAAACTCTTTTGGAGTTTGGAAGATGAGTTGGAATTTACATTCCCTGAAACAATCATGGAAGTATATATACCATACACCCGTTTGGTATTTGCAACATCGTCATCCTTGCTGGGCAATGGAAGCTCTCACTTCCATGATGATTGTTCCAGGAAGTGTAAGTGTTCAATTTTGCGCGTTGTTTGCTTCTCTCGTACAAGTACCTCATGTTCATTTTGCAACTCATCCTCATCCTGTGTGTTGTGTGTTTCTTTTCTGCTCATTGCAGGCAACTGCATCCTTTTTGTTTTCCTACTGAACATACTGGATTCAAGTTCAGTACCTTTTGAATCACTGTACTCATAATCGTTATCAAGGTCTTTTATGTGTTTCTTTTTTCTGTGCTTTATCTTGAACCGCTTATATACTCATCGACTCATCGTTACATCAAACCTTAATAATCCGAATTAGGAGAAGTGGATAGTTTTTGGGTTTGAATATCTCCACGTTTTGCGGGTTGTGCTTTCATGCAGGATTTGAAGGAAATATGCAATTTGCGTTCACAGAATATCTCATGCCAATTTGCCTTGAAGAATTCTTACACTTGCAGTCAGACATCCTTTATATTCCTTGATTCAACAAAATTCAACGATTCGATGACACGCACCGCCATCCATCCTGATTGACACGCGCCAGCTGCGCGCGAATGCCTTCGAGCCCGGGGAGCCCAGTGATGTCTCCCTCGCAGACCCCCGGTTGGTGTCTCATCTGGGTGTTCAAACGCAGTTGGTAGGAGCTCCAATGAGCTCCAGTGCTTTTGGTTGATTCTTACAGTCTGACGAGGAAGGACTCGACTTTGGCGAGGTCCAAGATCCGAGCTTGGCCGGTATGACTTTTTGCCCTCCAACTCAGACGGATCTCACCCCAGCTGGGTTGGTGGTTCTTTTTTTAGGGGATTGATCGGAGAGGTCGATTTGGTGTGTCATCCTGAAATTACCAGAGAGGCCTGCATATGTATATATATATATATGCTCAGGTCCCCCGCCCACCACCCCCCGAAGACAACGTTGAAGCTTCTATTTCAAAAGCTGTCCTCTGGATCTCTAGGAACGTATATAGATGTCTCCAGAAGCTTTATATATATTAACATACTGTATCTAAGAGTTTGCTACCCCTCCAAAGATCCACCTTTTTGCCTCTCGCATGCATGTCTAAGTTAATATTATATATAGATCTACAAGCAGCAAAGAACATGCAGAGGGTTGAGACAATATGTTCAGGTGCTATATATTTTTGCGGAAACCAGAAGGTAGGAACAAAAGACAAATAAAGACAAGTTTGTTTGATGCAAAGAAAGGGAAGGATAAGGAGACCTTCTTCGTTGGTTTAGTCTTTATGATTATGCCGAGGGAGACTTCAAAGAGCTTGGTATCAAACAAAAACAAGCCTTTACACATCAAGGAGTTTATTGGATGCGACATATGTTCCTTAAAAACTTTTACGCAAGAGAACTCTCAAAAGGGAAAATGCATAAGACATACCAAAGATCTATTCAGGAAAGCCCTCACTATGATAATACAAGAAATGCTTAGTGATGATAAAGAACATTTGATTTAGCTGAAGGACTTAACAATGGATTGTGACAACCTAGGCCAGGCTGTATCAAATTCAGAGTCAGTGTATAGAGCAATTATAAAAGAACAGCAATGACAATTTGACAGATGCAGCTAATGTATATAGATATCTAGCCCGATTATGCAAACACAATTCAAAACGACATTGCAAAAGGTAACTACACAGATAATGTATGTTGGAGGAATGCAGTTTTGGACTTTATGAACACTGCTCTTGTGCGTGGGACAACTAGAACACTGTCTTTAATAGGATGGGATTAGTGAGATTATGGACAGAGATAAGTTGACTGGAAGGGGGTATCCATTAAGGAAATGGAAAATGTATTAAATTGAGTTTAACATCTAGCATATCAACTTACAAATGTCCATATGATCCACACCAAAGACACCATCGCATTAAGACTTTTTGCAATGGTTAAAACATGACCACAATTATTCCTTAATCCACGACCTGAAGACATTGCAAGAGAAGCAGGAAGTAAACAAACCCACAGCAAAAACGACCATTGATGATTACATCAATGAACGGGACGAATAACAACACCCTAAATACAACATGATTGTTTACATAAATGACATTCTTAAACTTGAAATACCTAAGGATTGTCAGGTCAAGCGGGAAGAGACAATCGCCGTTTGATCTGTCATAAAGTGTTTGTTTAAAGTTTTAAATACCAGAAATAAATTGATGAAGCAGCTATAACTGAACAACAATAGAGGTTGAACCAAGTCAAATCAAAACACGGAAGCTAGTTACACAGAACTTCAGTTGAGGGTTGCATTACAGTTGAGGATGAAGACACTTATGACAGCGTGAACATAGCAATGTACAGCTTCAACAAGGCGGTGTTTAGCCCTTTTCACAAGTTATACTATTCAACTCAGACATTGATGATAAGATATTGAACGCCCCGTAAAATGATAAGTTATGCTATATCCATTTGAAAAGATCCCCAAGACAATCATTGACATTCATATTACCAGAGGATTTACACCCATTCATCAACATCTTTAAAACAATTGATAGATGGAAATACAATCATGACATGGTCGATATGGTACATTGACTAACTGTTACTTTTTTCTACGCAGAGAAATCACAGTTTTTTGGGGCAAATGATGTAATGTTATTCAACAAAGATATACTGTGATCTACCAGGCAATATGATACAATTTTAAGGATGAAAAGGTCAAGAGAAGAGCCAAGATCCTTGCGTGCAAAGAACCCAGCAACAATTACAGAGATATTCATAATCAGTTGATGAACACAAACATGTATGGATTGCCGAAAAAAAGGAAGCCTCAACATCCAATAAGAGTGTTTCATTCAAGCATTAAGAAGAAACAATGGAATACCAAGCATAATGAATACGGATGCAATATTTTTTGTTGTCGGATTTGTTCAAACAAAGCTAGAATATCAAACCTGCAAACTCTATGTCTCCAAAGTGGCTTGGTACTGTGCTTGTTTCCTGGAGAATTCCAACGCAAACAACCACAAACAAAAACATTGGTATAATTTGTGATTTCGGCCTGAAATATGTGTTTGTGTTCATTGAGTGTTTTTTTGTTTCCTTCATCAAAAAAACAATATAACGCTAGGTTGTTTTGTTTTTGTTCTGGTCTATGCAACCTTGAATCACAAAGAAAACAAAAAGCAGAAGGTTTTTCACTTTTAGTGTGGGGGTTAGATCGGCTAGGGGAGATCGGCGATGATTTTGCTTGTTTGTTTGGACATCTCAAAGGTCTATATAAAGTAAGTGCTTGGTTAATATGAATATTACTTTTATATTGATATTCCTGACTATTCTTGTCTACAAAAACAGAAATGGTCAACATGCGAAGACAATAAATGAGCATTCGAGACTCACAGCGAGTCAACCTGAGTCAGAGGACAGTTGTGTTAACGTGAGATAGATGTTATTGCGCGAGAGACAGATATTGTTTAGCACCCCCTTTCTCTACATCGCTGACTTCAGAGGAGGCCTGTCTTATTTATTCATTGTGTTTTTTGAATAAGTAAACCAACAACATGCGTTTCAGTTGTTTTTGCTGAAGGAAGCTAAAACATATCACCGCAAGAGACCCCAAACAGTTGTGTAGGTTGTTGGAAACCGGAGAAGAACCGCTGTTTCCATTTCTGCGTGATGGAGTATTTGTGAAAGAAGAAAAATCGGTACAGCTTGCGCCACGCTACTGAATCCTAGTCGGGAGGTCTAGAGATCCAGAAGTTGTGCAAGCTCTAGAGGCCCAGCATAGAGGCCTTCAAGTAACAGTCTCGATGCCTAGCAACCTGGAGTCCTGGAGGTATAGCGTATCTGCAAAAGATCCAGTGGTCTAGAGGTGTATGCTGTGTTTGCACTTCAAGCTCCTAAGTGCTGCGCCTGTCACGAAAGTGGTCAGACGAGGTCTTGAGAGCCAGGTGAAGGTGGAGACGGTGCAGATCTAAATCGAGAGATCTAGAGATCCATGTCTTCAGATCCAAATAGATCGAAAAGGTCCAGAGATCTAGAGGTCTAAAGTTCCAGAAGTCTCGAGAGGTTAGAGGCCTCGAGTCCTAGATGTCTAAGAGGTCTAGACCAGAGTTCCAGAAATCTTGAGAGGTTTAAGAGGTCTAGATCTAGAGTAGAAGTGTTGAGAGCTCTACAACCCTGGAGTTTAGAGGCCTAGAGCTCTAGATGTCCTAGAGTGCCAAAAATCTTGAATGGTCTAAGAGGTCTGGAGATCTAGAGGTCTAGAGTAGAAGTTTTCAGAGCTGTAGAGAATAGAGCTCTACAGCTCTTAGATATAGATCTATATAAATGTCTAGAGTACCAGGAGTCTTGAGATCTAGAGGTCTGGAGTAGAAGTCTTGGCTCTAGAGGCCTAGGTCTAGAGCTCCATGTTCAAGGTCCACTTCAAATCTGGAGACCTATAGGTCTAAAGTTCTAGAAGTGCCGAGTGGTTTCGATTGCATAGTACAGTAGTAGTAGTAGTAGTAGTAGTAGTAGTAGTAGTAGTAGTAGGAGTAGCAGTAGCAGTAGCAGTAGCAGTAGCAGTAGGAGTAGGAGTAGCAGTAGCTGTAGCAGTAGGAGTAGGAGTAGGAGTAGGAGTAGTGGTGGTAGTGGTAGTGGTACTGGTACTGGTAGTGGTAGTGGTAGTGGTAGTGGTAGTTGGGTTAGTAGTAGTAGCAGCAGCAGTTGTTGTAGTAGTAGGAGTAGTAGTGGTGGTAGTAGTAGTAGGAGCAGTAGTAGTAGTAGTAGTAGTAGTAGTAGTAGTAGTAGTAGTAGTAAGAAGTAATTAGTAAGTAGTTAGGAAGCAAGTGAAGGGAAGGGATGGGAAGGGAAGGGAAGTGAAGTGAAGTGAAGTAAGTAAGTAGCTAAGTAAGCAAGTAAGCAAGCAAGAAAGTAAGTAAGTCAGTAAGTAAGTACTAGAAGTGAAGTAGTGGTAGGGGTACTGGTACTTGTAGTGCAAGTGGCAGTAGTCCTAGTGGTGGTGTGGATGATGCTGTTTATGCAGTTAGGGCGACATATATGACACGTGAAAAGTTTCAATCCGTGCCACAGCCGAATGAAGCCACAGAGGCGCCAGAACTCGCACGAGACCCCGCCCCAGACGCCGCGGCCCTCGCCACGAATGGGGTTGAGAAGCAAATCGATGGAGGCTTGGCGATAAGATGGGTGCATCTTAGAGAACGGAGGCCCCTGGTTTCAAACACTTGTTAAAATCCGGCCTCCCAACCCACAGAACGGACACACCCCACAAAGAACCTCTTGAAAGAGCAAACATCGAGGGGCAAAAATCCATTGGGTCTTTTGGGGAGAACCCGACTGCGCTACTGTTCCAGATCCGGACCCCAACCAGCGCTTTTTCGATCTCCTCTGGGCGTGTGTGGGCTCTGCCGGGTGAAGTGCGAAACCATACGTTTTGGAAGGCGAAACTATGCGAAACAACAATGCACACGGCCGTATTACAGCGTGGCAGATCAAACGCGTATGGTTCTACACAGCCTTAAGCAAATTTCCACAAAAGTAAGGGAACATCCAAAAGGACAGGTGTGTAACATGGAAGGGAACTTTGTTTTTTTCGTGGTTCGGTGACGCCAGAAGTGGCGATGATGTGGTTTAAGTGACGGCTGGTCATCAGGTGTTTGTGATTGTGTACGATGGGTCAAAACTGGGACACCCTGGTTGACCACCGAGAAAGAACAGAATAGACTGAATAGAATAGACTAGGAGGTCAACCTAGACCTAGCCTGGTTTGGGGCTGGTTTTGACCCACAGCCATGTGGGTTCATCGTTTTGGTTGGGAAGTTGGCAAGTGATTGGTTTGCTGTGACCAAGTTTGGTTTATTCCAGCTCCTTTTCCAGCTGGAATGACACAAATCAGAAAACCTTTGACGTGCAATTGGTCAAACAGTTTTTGTGTAACAACCAATGTTTAAAGTGTGTTTGTTTGTTTGTTTGTTTGTTCGTTTGTTTGTTTGTTTGTTTTTTTGTTTGTTTGTTTGTTTAGTTTGATCGAAGTGGGATGACAATGTTAAGACAAAATAATGAACCGTGTATGTTCATCATTGGTTCACCTTTTTCTTTTGTACCTCCACCCCCTAAACCCCCCCACCAACAAAAACGTTTCGACTCCTGCTATTTTGTTTTTTGTGGGGGAACTGCAACACCTTTGGAGGACCTATAAACAGCAAGAAGCCCTGAATGAAGCCTCCTCAAGAATCCACTGCCAGGGTTGCGGATAGAGACTGCCTGCGCGGTTTACAAACCCTCACTCGCCCTTAGGGAATCGCCACTGGAATCTTTTGACGAGGTGTTTTTGTTTCGCCACTCGTCCGATTCCACATGACTTCTTTTTAGGGCTTGCTCCACCCGATTCTGTAGTCTAACACCCTGGTAGTCGCTGTGTTTGCTTTTTGGAAGCGCTGCTTTTTCATGTGCCAAGCCCAAAAGCAGCCCAGTCAGGCAGTCTTTGTGTATTTCTCACCTAACACCTGCCCATCACTCAACTCCTGCGCTTCGGAACCTCAGGACCTCACGCAGCTATGCGACGTGAGCCGCCACTGGGCTTTCGGGTGGATCGTGAGCCATCCACGATTCGGGCCCAATGGACCCCAAGAGAAATCGATTTGTGTTTGTAGAAGTGAATTGGGTCCATTGGGCGGACACCCAACGTTTGTAGAATGCTCTAGTTTCCTTCTTCCAGGTTCTCCTCCTGGGACCCAAGTGAATCTAAGAGATGTGTGAAAAGATGTGAAAACAACACATCCTTGCTGACTCGCTTCATTGATTCACCTGGTGCGGAACCAGTCTCTTCTTTCAACTTCAAGACCCTTGGCAAAAAACATGTTTTTCCTATGGTTTAATACATACACAGACACACATAGATTCTAGGTTTGACGCAATGGTATGGTATGGTAGGCCCAGAACACCCTTGAATTCCTACAGGCTTGCCTAAAGGCACTCACCATGTCTTGAGGGAAGAACAAGGACATGCTCATCCTCTCAGAGCGACATGATCCAGGTCTTCCACTGGCCGTCTGTGATAGCCTGACAATTGTATTTCACCAACAAAAATAATAAGAAAACACCTCAATGGATTCGCAGCGGCACGCATTCTCAAATCACACATAGCTCACAGAAGCGTGCTTCACCGCAAAGCTTGAAACAATGTCAATCCAGTCTACGTTGGTTTGTCTTAAAGGTATATTAGAAAGAACAACAGGTCGGACTGCAGCAAACCTCACGTAGCCACAAAAGTGTCCACAGATCAACTACCCGGTTCTGGTTGAATCACACACATTGTCCCTAGTTCTGGTTGAGTCACCTAATGTACCGTTGTTCCAGCTGAAGCAGAAGGTCCGCAAAAATCCAAATGCTGTGTTGTTTCTAAGACAAGGAACCTGTTAATCTCTTGCGAGTTGTCAAGCTTCCATGACTCTCCAGACAAACCAGGTTCTAAGCAAAACATAGTACTAGTGTCATCAGCACTCCTCAGCGATGGGAGCTAGCACGGAGATCAACTTATGGTCAAAATGACCGCTTTGAAAGTGATCTGTGTTGATTGAAGTCCATTTGGGTGCGAAAATAGGGAGACCTGCCAAGATCCCCTGGAAGAAAAGCATCCAAGATATACAATATACCAAAACTGCTTGGTTGTGGGTCTCCCTATTTAAATATGCACATTTACCCATGTCGAATACAAGCTGATGACCATCTTAAGGCGACGACAAGGCCTTCTTGGTCTTTCGCAACCTACCGGTGTGGGGACCCAGAGCCGGCGAGGTCGTGCTCGGCTCGGCGCCGAGCTGGGCAGCGTCGTTTCAAGACCCACGAAAGACATGGCAGGTGTGAAGGACAAATTTAGTTGAAAGGCCACAGTAAGGAGAATTCTCACGTTGAAGACAGCACAACACTCCCAAGAGCTTCCGAACGTTGAGAAGGAGTGGCACACACTAAGACTCAAGCAAACCTAGTAGTGATTTGAACACATACTATGACATACAGTATGGAACCTACCAAACCATTTCTTCTTCGATTTGGTGATAGCACACATCCTGGAGCGGCCGAACTTCTGTTCCGGAGCGCCCCGGTTCCGCCGTTGTTGACAGGTCGTGGTCACCAAATCGGAGACCGGGGAGTGGCAGGCGGAGACCGTCAGCGAGTCCGAGCATCGACGCACGAGATGAGACGCATCCGACCAGATTTGAAAGATGGTTGGGGCGAAGCAATCATGGTTTAAAACTCATCCGACCATCATGGTTTCCTTAAGAGAAGCAAATCATGAAGTTTCCTTAAAACTTCTCTTGAAATCTCACGATCTTTCAGATCTTTGACTATGAGACACGACCGTTGATCCTTTTGGGCTCTTCGTATGCGCCAAAAACCACCACCGGTGGTGCCGCCAGCCTTTCCGGCGGACCGGCGCCACACGCGAACGGACCCGACCCGCGGAACGAGGTGGAGAAGATCAGCGACTCCGCAGGCACGGCCTTGCCGCTGTTGAAGCACTTCACGCTCCACGGCAAATATAGAGCTGCGCCGCGCGGGTTCGTTATTTTTGTTTTCTGACGCCGGCGGTTTTCGCGTTGTTGTTGTTGTTGTTTTTAAATCTGGCTTTGGAATTTTTGGTCGGCTCACGACCCGACCTAGGTTTCAACCTGTCCTCATATTTATATAACTGTCATTAGTATGGTTGTTCCGGTTGCTGGTGGAGCATGGATATCACCATCATGGAGCCAGGGCAAGACAGGGGCAGCAATGAAAAGCGCGGTCCAGAGCGGTGTGGTTTTAGAACTTTGGGCTTCTGTGAGTGTTGTTGGTGAAACCATCAGCGGAGACCGTCTTCACCGAAGTAATACTGGCCACACCAATGAAAGCAAGCAGGCGCCGTGCCAGCTGCCGACCTAAAGGGGCAAGTGAGTGGAGGTAGCCTTCGAAGTTGAAAGGAATCCAAATCAGATGATTGCTCCAAAGAGCAAAGGGAGGTTTTCTTTTTCAGTACCGAAACCGTCCATGAAAAGACAGGCTCCGCCGGGAACAACCAACATCACACGTGGCTTCCGGTCGGGTCGGTCGATCAAGGCAAACCGACGCTCAGCTCCCGGCGGGGGAAGCCATCGACATCAAGGTGAAGTTCATCGGAAACCCAGGCGACCGGAGGTTCGGCGGTTCGGACAAAACATCCAGAGACGTGGATGGAGAACGTGTTTTCGGATGGTAACTTTTAAGTATCAGTTGTTGCTTATGCCAAAGATCAGAGCGCATACCATGACCGTTCCGCAGCTTTTGAAACACCAGGGTGCCCATAACATGGAACGCTGCCAATGTGATTCTGACCTTGAAACACACTGTACAATTCAACCATTGTTTGCTGTTGCTATGCTATTTTCCCGGGGAGTAGTAGAAGAGTGTCTTTGAGATCCGGGCCCCAAGCATCTCAGATTTCTTGGTGGGGATGGTGAGTTGGTGAAGCCCAAATCATCCCTTGACACAACAAGGATCAAAAAGGGTCATATATCGAGAACGATTGTATATCAACTCAACTCCAAGTTTGTTTGATTCTTTGAAGACCTTCGAGCACCAGAATATCATGCTGTACAGGCATGCCGCAGGATTCCCCCGTGGTTTGGGAATTGGCTTGCAGCTTCATTACTCCAACTGTTCACCAACTTCTTCCGGGATGCATTGAATGTTTCGTGTGTCCTGCCAAACATCAAACCATGTGTTGCTTCGTCAGGCGTTTGCGTGGAAGACGAGGCGGAAAGGCCCAGAAACCCGTGTTCGCGGAGATCGCCTTGGGGGTGATGAATACTGAGCACGTTGTTGTTGTTGTTGTTGTTAGTGTTTTTTTGACTACTGAGACCTGACTACTGTATATAATTGGACCAACAGCTGTAAGCTAAGTTCTTCCATGTTGTTCCATGCTGTTCTTGTCCATTCGCCTGTTTCCATCGCTCGTTCGATTTTGGGTTGGTTTTGCATAGTCGAACCCAATACGAAAACAAAAACAATGACGTGGTGATCAATGTCCCGGGATGAGAAGAGCTGGGCGCGCTGGGCACGGCAGATTTCAGATCCAACAGACGGATCAACGGATCAAGAGGCTCGACTGAGGGATCCTCGAGCGGGTTGCGCAGGAAGAAGCTCTCTGAGATCCTCGCGCAGCATTCCTGCATCCCTGTCTTCCTGGATGCGGACTGAGAAGGGTGCCGCGGGTGGGGAAGTAGAATCAGTGACCACAAATCAGAGCTTGCACTTCTTGACAGGCTTTCTTCACACAGGGGACATGTTGGATTCCGATGTCCAAGCTACATCGTGGTCGGTACCGCCTCCCCGAACGAAGAAGGGAGGCCTGGGAGTGTGTGGGTCGTCAGGACCTTGTACAAAAGCACAACTTCTTCGCGGCACCTCGGCCTTCAATGCCAACGGTCGCAGAAGTGGCCAAGGTTTTAAGCCGTCAGGACTTCCAGAACAGCAAATTATTAAGAGCATACACCAGCACCACCCAGTTCGGGTGGTTTATAGACCCCCCTGAAGATGTATTTTCCATCTAATAACCACCCGAACTGGGTGGTGCTGGCAAGAGTTTTAGAGGCAAGAGAGAGACTTTGACTCGCGTCCGTGAGGACCAATTGGAGTCACTTATTGTCAAACGAATTCTACCAGGGTAGCCGGGTAGCAACCTGTGGATCCAGGCAATTCGTCGGTCAACAGAGCCTCCAAGCAGGTCGGTAGATATACAACTTGTGGTTTTCAGTGTGCAGGTCGGGAAAGTTGTTTTCTCAACTTCAGCGTGGTATCCTCCTGTTGCTCTCGGCGAAAGAGACCTCTTCTCCTGTTCTTCTTTCCAACGAACAGAAGAAGACACACCACAACACTGCGGTTTACGCGGCAGGGTTCGCTGTGCGCCTAGGAAGATTACTTGTGGCCCGTGTTTCACAACATGAAGATTTTCGATTCCACCGTCACTGGAGATGCCGTGTCCTGGAGATGACGTGACGAGGTGAACGGCCGATTTTCGTCGAGGAAACAACGGTGCAACAACCAGGACTTGATACCCTTTTGAGGCCTGATACGTATCGATGTGTTTCCTTTCTCAATCAGAGGTGCCTGCCAGGTGTCATGTTCTTAAGTTGAGGGTTGCACTATGTTGCACTTCCAGTTGTCACGTTCCACAGCGATGCTGACGTTTGTCCAGTCAGGCGGGGATGTGTCTCGACTTGCGGGCGCATTTTGCTGCTCGATTTTGCGGTGTACGTTGTAGGCGTTTTCTAAATGCATTGAATTCCAGGTGCGTGGCTTCAGAATAGAGGGCTCAGTCAAACCCAACTCTCGGGTTTTTGTGGGGGGGGGTCTTGATCAGTGGCGCATCACGTCAAGCTGCGATGCGCAGATGTGCGAAACATTATCCCTCATCCGTGTGAGAGACATCCCTCACCAACCCCAGTTTTGGACAGAATGTGTGCCCGTGTGTGTGTGATCAAGGGTAGCTTCTCAACGAAGGGGAGTCAAGGTAGATCTGCAGAACGAAGCAAGAATCTACAACTCGGAGCCTAGCAGAGTTGCATGTCGTTTGTTTGTTTTGGATGGCTTTTGGAGGTCGTTTTGTAAAAATGTTCAAATGCTGGACCGCCCCGCCAGATCCTTTCTGTGGCGACGGTGTGAGGATATGGAGTCCTTCGACAAGGCACTTTGGAAGAGCTTCTTAGCCTTGAACAATGCTTATGCGGAGGTCATCACCAATCACGGAGCCTTTTCTGCAGGGTATGGTTCGTTTTATCAGTTTCTTTCTGTACTTGTAGGGCCTGTTGAAAGGTGGGGCTTCCAATGGGTTCTCTTCGAAGAATTGAAATCAGCAACTTATGGATTGGGACCCCTGGCCCCTGATAAAATTGATTTAACAACATAAACATCATATGAATATACAATTCCCACGATTTCGCTCAAACGGACACCAGGCCAATTATAGTGTGCGCCCCCTCTGGACGGACGTTTTGCAGGCTCCAACATGCCGGGTCTGCGGGGCCCATGACAATCCACTCTCCATGGGCCCATCGGTAGCCGGTCCTGGCGGTCCTGGCGGTCCTGGCGGTCCTGTCGGTGGCGAAGAGTTGTCCCAATGTCATCCTAGTTACAAGAAGAGTTGTCCTAGCAATCAAGGAGAGGGATGGCTCAACTGATGCTGTGGTGAGCGAAACATGAACACACATGACCTGGCCATTGCAAGACCAAAAGACACTAGGGGGGAAATATAGATAGGCCTCATGTCATGTCGCATGAAACAAACGTAGGCTGTTGACGGTTGAACTTGTTGACAAATTTGAAGATGCCACCAGCTCATGCCTGTTACAAGATGTTACAAGCAAGGCTTGCCAGTCCTGACTGGGATCCATGATCTACACTTGTTTTTCGCGATCGAAGAGACCCTACTTTTAGGCTCTCCAAAGGTTACCTCTTAGGCTTTCCAAAGGGTGCGTAACTTCGCGAATTCAGGAGATGAAGATACCTTGGTTTGGATCCACGATTACGAGCTGGCTGGGATCCGAAGAACAGGGCAACTCCGTTGGTTCGGAGATCTTTGGTACCTTGTGACGGTGTCCATTGAGAGTCTGAATGTAGACCTATATATACGTAGAGAATGTTTGGAGGCTTGGATCATACGATGAAGTTGAATTAGGATGAATTAGGTACATTTACTGTATAGGTAAAGACTGGGTGTGTGAGAGAGAGAGAGAAAAAGAGATCCTATCATGAACTTGCTCCCCAAAACCATTCCACAGTAATGACCTCGGCGACTCGGCCCCTTCCTTCACCTCGCAGGTGATGGTGCCACGCTTCGTCTACCATCGGAACCCAGACTTCACCACCGGTCTCTTTCTCCATTGCGCCTTCCCCAGCACCGAGGCGGGGATTTTCGCACCGGAGACGGACAGCAGAGCTCTGGATTGCACGGTAGACTGTTAGACCTCAAGAACTTCGCAAAGACACCACTGGTCGATTTGCTCGGCAGGTGATGAGCTGCTTGCCGGTCCGAGAGGAGATCTTGCAAGGGATGTTGAGCAGCCGGTGGGGAGGCCTCAGCAAGTTGTTCACCATGGACTTTGCATATGTCATATTCAAAAAAGGCAATGAGCAGGTGGCAGGGCCTGGCAGGGTACACGGTCAATGCATCCATTTGCCATGAATGTCCTGTGCTTTTGGCTTGGTGAGGTTGCCAGGTCTTCCTTTTCTTCCCCTTCACTTCGTTAGCACCAGTGGTGCTCAACAAACCTCGGCCTTCTGCGCGAAATCCCGAGGCTGGTGACCTTCCAGACCTTCGACTACCTGAGGCCCACCGAACGAACGTGACCGGACACCGCCGGTCCGCCCGGACGTCGCAATCGCCGGAGCCCGGACGTCGCCGAAATCGGGGGCGGAGCCATGTCCGGATTGGGACCACAGACCACAGCTTGCCTGCCTGAGCAAGAATGAGTATGGGGTCATGCGTTTCATGCGTAAGGGTTTGGGAGTCGGTAGGCTGTTGTGATATAAGTAATATGTGTTTGTTTCAGACATTTCCAGTCAGTTTTTTCTTGTAGGGGTAATTATGGAATATTATGGATAATTATTGCTTCCAGACAACTTGCGCTCCCATCACTTGGGATCTTGTGGATCTCTTCTAGTCAGGACGCCTTTCAACAAACACAGCTTCGCAGGTCTACCCACCCTTCCAAGAAACAAATAGGCTGAAAGACCTCAAAAACGGCATCCTTCGTCCTCGGACCTCGTCATCCGCGCGTAGCGAAACACGCGTTTCGCAGCGCCTGGGTAGGCACTTCATGTCCTGCTGCTCTGAAGTCTTGGGTTGCCGCCATTCCTTCCAGAAAGGCGGCATCCTCCAGGCCTCGGAGGGAGGAGGTCCAGCAGCAGTTGGATGTCCGGGGTCAAGAAACGGAACAGCCCAATGTTTTGGGGTGCAGAGGGCATTACTGTATATAGTTTCTTTGGAGTTGGAGGAAGAGAGACAGTGAGATACTGCTTTGCAGCAGTATACCATATTGAGATGCCATGTTTTTTGATTTGAGTGATTGTATCCTCTCATCTCTTTGCAAGAATACATGTTACAAGAAATCATTGGGAGTAGTGATGGGGTTAGATTTATATGCAGATGTCCTATGGGAAGTGCTTGGCTTCCTCGGACAGTCTGTATAGTCATCTGTTGCAGCGTCCCCCGTCAAAGACAGACTTTGCAGACCTTCTATCACAATGTTTCTGACACCAATTGCTGATGCGCCAGATGATAGATCATGATAGTTCTTAGATAAGGCAATGGATGAAACTGGTGCCATATGAATCTACATTCAATGCAGAGGCACTCAGACACTCGCACGGATGCTAGCATCCAGCACGCCTTCAGCCCCATGACCCGGAGTCGACGTGAGGTGGAGCATGATGCGCGGAGTGTGGTGGTCTTCGCGGATCACTTTGCGATCCCTTACAACCATTTGGTCCGAAAGCTTTCTGATGAGAAGGCCAGGCACAGCTACTTGTGAGTCGAAAGGCCCCCAGGTTTAGTGTCCAAGCCTTCGTAGGATCAGCAATCAAAACGAAAGGAAGCTGGGTATAGCTGGGCACCCAGAAGCCTTGATCAAATCAAACATGGTCAAGGCATGTCAAGCCTAGTTCATGCTGCATGTTCTGTTCCCAACCTAGCCGAGAGGCTGAGAAGAACATAACAGGTGAATCAGGAATCAACAAAATTTATTATGACCAATGACCAATGCCAGCATCTGAAGGCCTAGAGCATCCTAGAGCTATCACCTGGCTTTGGCTACCCTTGGACAGAGTCTTAATTGATATTAAGCGACTCTGGAATCTAGAATAATCTAGCTGTCAAGGTGTTTCCATCATAGATGTGTTTCCATGTTTGATGGCTTATGTTACCTATAGGTTACTTCGATGTAGGGAAGCAAGAGTCAATGGATCAATATTTGAGTTGACGAAGAGGAAGGTCATGCCACCTGAAAGAGAGGGAGAGAGAGAGAGAGAGGGAACAGATTAAATCTGTCTTCAAGCAAGTTCAATGAGACCCTGAAGCCAGTAAAATTGCAGGCTACTGTATTGTAAACTATATATATATTATATATATGTACATTTGCTATAAATAGGTATATGTATGGTTCACACATGTGATTCTTTTCCCCCCCAACTGTTTCTCTCCACCTTTCCCACCTTCCAACAACGGCACGGCCGTGTGTGACCATGGCCGACGGCCGCACGGGCGCGCGTTGGCACACCGCGTAGGTCATCGACCGGGCGCGCTCCATCCAAAACGAGTTCAAGGGAAAGACCATCATCGGCCCCTTGGGACGGCGCTGGGCGGATCGAAACCGCGCCGATCCCGATTTCTCGGATCGGTTGGGAGACCATGGAGAAGACAGGTCGAGGTGAATCCCTGAATCCCTTTGGCCTCGGAAAGAAAAGGCACATATCAATTCCCTGCAGATGAACATGGACCCCAAAACCACTGGGTTAACTGTTAACTCTGCGGAAATGGAGTCGGCACCACTGGTGAATTATCAGGTTCCATGCTGGGTCGCGGGAAGGTTGACATGCTTTTTTGGGCGGTTGACTTGTCACCAAGTAGGCGTCGCTGAAGGCAGGGTTAAGCAGCGAACCAGGTTGTTGGTGTCACCACCGGGTTTGTACAAACAAGGTGCTTCCATCTAGTTAGACTCAGGGTTTCTTGGAAGAAAAGTGGGTAGAAGCGAGCTGAAGTTGAAGCGGTTAAGATCTATCAACATTTGCAAATGCAACCCCATGGGCTTTGTGATGCCCAGTTCATGGGCTTTGTTTCAGTGAAGCTGGCTGGCCACGCCGGTCGGTCCGTACTGTGTCGCTGTGGACCCCTCACCGTGCCTCGGCACGAGGTGTGGCGTGCCTCGATGGTGTTTGTACGATGCAAACGGGGTGTTCTGCAGAACGTTGAGGCAGAAAATACCATTACCATCCATTTGCCCTAGCAAGTTCCGCTTGGTGCCGTTATTTTTTTTGAGAAGATGTGTTAGATCATGTTGGATCTTGATTTGCTCACTGCCAGTATCAGCATGTATCAGTGGTTTCAGCTGAACACTTGACTTGCGTGTGCAGCCGCAGAATGTGAACTGCAATTGTGGTTCTTGCATGGCTACCCACTGGGCACCATTTTAAGGAGTGTGGAGCCGTGCCAAGAGATTCCCTGCGGCGGCGGTTGCTTATGGCCGAGGCCCTTCGATACCCTGTGCGGCCAGCATGTTGACTTGAGAGCGTTGAGAGGGTGTGACAGCTCTGGAGTGACAATTGTGCCACCTGAAGCTGTTGAACTGCAGTCACTCGCCCGTGCTTTCTCCAGCTCCAGCTGTGCCGCCTCAGTGACAGCCAAGAACAGCCTCAGGGAGTAACGAGCCGAACGTGCCAGTGCCGCCCTGGTGTTCACAACAAGACCAGCTGCTCAGGTGCGCCACTGGTGTGCACCGTCAGGCAGCTGGTCTTGTCAGTGCTAAAAGTCCAGATATCGTCTCTCCATGTTCAGCCTTCACTGGCTGAACATGAGAATTCTCTGAAAGGACTGGCTCGATTTTGTTTTACTAAGGCTTTTGCTAGCGCATTTAAGCATGTTTGTGATGGCTCCTGCTCACATGGGAAGCCCTGAAAGCCGCATTTGCATGTATTTGCCATCCATTTCCAATCGCAGGCATCCCATCTTTTGTTTCAAGAGCATGTAGTGAAGCCGCTTTCCGTGGACTTCAAATCACCAGCACCTCATCATACCTCGCGGCGAGCGCCTGAACCAAACTCCACGAACTCCACGAATCTCTCCCAGCTTCATCTCTCTCGAAGTACCCAGGTTCCTACGATCGCTTTGATTGTTTCAGCGGCTTAGCGCTGAAACTGGGGATCTTTCATCGTTTCCTCATGGAGTACCGCTCTCACAGGCTGGGCTGGCGCCGGGATGAGACGACCGCACAGTGCCCGTGCGCGTGGTTGTGCGGTCCGGTTGACCACGATGCATGCTGAACAATACACAGGGAATTTCTGTGTTTGATGTCCGATGGGTTCATTGAGGATGTGAGGAAACAGTCTTGGCTGCGTTGTAAATACCTCACTTTTGTCAAGAACAGCAGGGCGGTACATGACCCTGTCATACCCTATCAGTTGTTTGAAGTCAGGCTGTGTTGTTAAACTGGTTTATGAGAGGATCGCATGTGTTTGCGGGTAGGCCTGCTTCCGAATCACTTTTGAAGTATTTCGAACACTGTACACTGACTGCCGAATCCTTTCGCACCGGTGCGGTTTTCCCTTTCGGAAAACAGGCAGAACGTGGTGCTGGTGCAGTACGTGCGTGCCCGCTACACCGACTCCAAACGGTTTGGCATGGCCACTTGGAAGGAAGCATAGAATCATATAGAATCTATATGGTTGGTGGCTGGGTGGGTGTTGGTGTTGGCGTTATGGGGCTGAAAGTTCTTTGGTAGAGAAATCCCATGTACTCAAAGCCATTGCCTTGTGGAAGAGGTTGAAGTATCCGATCATGTTTATTCTTATTCATTATGTTCTTTTGCACGTTCGGAGGAAAGCTGAATTCTTCTCTATATATGTCTCAATTCCTGTGAGCAAACATGGGTCGGATGCTCATCAAAACATGGGTGATGTGTGTGCGTGCAAGTGTTTCTTGCCCACTGTTTTCTTAACGTTAAAAAACAATGAAAAAACAAACATATATAACACATTGTAACTCAGATATAACACCTGTATACACCAGGTATACAAAGAATCTACGACACTAACCTCCCCCTTCAGCAACTCCCACCAGGTCGTCACGCCCACAACGTCTTCCATCTTGGTGTCCACGCTCCGATGGGGCGGTGGTGTCCCGTGGACACCGAGTTCACATAGGAGCTGAACATCAGGAGGGGAGACGACCTTCCCCTCTAGAAAGCTGGTGCAAAGCACAACTTCTATTTCCATGGTGGTGTGTGAATCAAGTGATGTTACCTTTTTTTTCCAATTTGGTCTTGAAAATGGCAGAAGAAAGCTTTGTTACCACTCCCTGGTCGTGGCTTCTTCGAAGCCGATGCAACAATGTCTTTGGATGAATCCTCTTCTGGAAGATGTTCGTTCTCCGCTTCCACCCGCTATGTTCTCCGCTCGTTCTCCACTCGTCGGACGCGTCGGAGACTTTCGACGGCCCTGATGTGTCGGAGGTCTCCTTGGAAGAGTTGCAGCAAATGGCCGTGTCCTGGTCGAATGGGGCGTGGTGGTCCTGAAACTTAGGAGGTCCAGGTCCTGACCTCAAAACCGATGTCCACCAGGAAACCCAGCTATACTCAGGATTGTGGAAACTACTCAGGATCTTTACATCTGAATATACATGAATGAAGACGGCTGACCCCATGTCATAAGACATTTGATCAGGTCCCAAGACCCGCTGTTCCATTTTTCAGATTGAGCAGTTGCCGAAAATCGGCCTCGGCTGCTGTGAACTCATTGCTTGGCTCCGGCGACGCACGGTGAACACCTCGGCCACGATCGCGTCTCTTCGGTCTGGTCGGTGCGGTGGGACCTAGGACGAGACCAACAAAGCCTTCGCGAAGACCGGCGAAGTCGTGGTGAAACTGGTCGTTGAGGCCACCGGTCGAATCGTTCGCCCGCTCGTTCGGTCGGGGTCGCTTAAGCTTGTTTGGGTGGTCGCTGGTTCCGGGTGCGAAAAGGCGCGCGCCTCGAAAACGACCCAAATGGGTATAGCTGAGTCCTTTGGTTTGGACATGTTTAGAAGGGATTTCTCACTAAACATATACTAAACCACTTAAAGGTGAAGCCCTCAGCAAAGGACCAAATTGATGGACAGCCAAGGTCCTAAGGATGTTCCTTTGGCTGTTTAAGCTGGGGGAGCGGACCTTTGAAGGTGGAAGCCGAAGGGGGTATGGATGTGGGAGAGGTATCAAAAAAAACATAAATAGGGCTCAATAAAAAAATAAATAGGGATCAATAACAAAACAAATAGGTATCAATAAAAAAATAAGTAGAGATCAAGACAACAACAAGCAGGGATAAAAAGAAGCAATAGAGAAGAGAGAAGGGAAAGAAAGAAAGAAAGAAAGAAAGACAGAACGACAGAAAAGAAGAAAGAAAGACAGAAAGAAAGAACGACAGAAAGAAAGAAAGAAAGAAAGAAAGAAAGACAGAAAGAAATAAAGAAAGAAAGAAAGAAAGAGAGAAGGAAGGAGGGAAAGAAAGAAAGAAAGAAAGACAGAAAGAAAGAAAGAAACACAGAAAGAAAGAAAGAAAGACACAAAGAACGAAATAAATTGAAGTAGACATTGAAGTAGAGCAGTGCTTACATGAACTGCTTGCAGGACGCATTATAGGCAATATTCAGGTGAGAGCTAGGAGCCATTCGAAGGTAGCAGACCTTTTTGTGAGCCACCTGGAGGAGGGAAGCGGCCATTCCAAGGTAAGCCTTCCGAGGGCAAAACTTGGAGGAGGAAGGCGTCAGTCCTTCTGTGAGCCGCCCAAGAACCAAATTTAGAGGAGGAAGGAGCCACGCCAAGGTAGCGCGCCTGTGGCTCACAAAGGAGGCAGGCGCCAGAGCGGGCAAGGGAGTTATTTTTTGAGCGCGCGAGTGAGGTGTGTGCATTGGCGTCGTCATAATTCAGTAGGCGGCGCGTGCTGCCGAGATCGCTTACTCAAGCCAGCCAGTGAGTTGCAAGCCAACCCCGACAAAGACCGCTGAAAGTTAGATAAACAAATATCAAGAACGCCCAGACACAACCAACTGCACACAGCAACATCCAAGCGCGGACCTGTCCTCCAAACTCCCAAGAAAACGGCATGTTTGTAAAGGTCCACCACGCTCTATTTTATTGCCCAGCGCCCTACTTCTCCTAATGCCCTTTGCTTGCTACGCCAGCTGATTCGCTTAAGTGTCAGTCGTGCTCCCGAAGTTATTTCGTCCAAAAAATTACTCGCTCACTCCGCCTTGCGGCCATTATATAGGTCTAAGATGCTGCAAATAGCTGCGCGTTGTGCCCCCTAGATATTGAAAAATAATGAAAACAATTGACAACGAATTAAAAGCCGCGCGCTTCGGTCGCCAGAAAGGAGAGATGCAGCCTTGGTCGCTTGCTACATGACGCTATAACTGGCAAGTGGTAGAGCGAAGACGTGCCGGAATCGTCCCCAGGGCCAGTTCAATCCAAGGCAGTGCCAGGCAGAACGATGCACCAACAGAAAAACACCTGGGCTTCGAAGACTAGAAGGAGAGAAAGACACCAACGATCTTTGCAATATGACCAGCAACACCAAACCCATTCCAGAGAAAGAGAAGACAGAAAACAGACAGAAGAAAAATCATCGCGGATGCTGTAAGCAAAGTCACTTAATTTGTTTACTTTCGCAGCCATTTGCCAATCTGCCAATTGCGACCCCAAGAGACTGCAGCAAGCGCCTCAGGGCCAGGTTTGTTCTGTCCTTTCTTATAAGAGGGATGCTGCTCTCAACTGCTTCAGGCACTTCGTTTGAAACATGCCAGCCGTGTCATTGCCAAGTCCTCAGCTAGTGTCTTCGCGCTGCACCTTGCAAAAAGAACATTTACCGCTTGGTGCACTCAGGTTGTCCTCTCCACTCTGGCTGGGTCCTTCGTATTTGGCCCCTCGTTGCTCCCTTGCTTGTGCCCGTGAGACTGCAGTTTTGTTTGACGCCGTCACTTCCTATGAATCTTCTGCAATGGCTCGTGCTGGTGATGTCTTCCTGGTGGATTCTGCTACTACTCTTACTGACGGCTTTTTCATGGTTTCTGTCCAGTGCGGTGCTGTTGAAGCTCGCTTCCTGAAGCTAGCGTCCTCCAAGGATCTCCAAGTGAACCCTGGCCTGGTTGTTCTGGACTTGGATGTCCCGTCTGCCCAGCGTCCACCTTGTCTGGCGCGCCATGGTTCCTTCTCGGCTCGTTCTGGCTTTCCGACCAAGACTGCAGTCGGACCAGGATGCATTCCGTGGGATTCCTCTTTGTGCCCGGTTTTGTATCCCGGTTTACCTGTTTGCAAGATCCACAGGCCCAAATCCGTTTTGCTTTCGTCGCATCCGCAAGTGGCTCCTCTTTGGACTTGTCGCTCGATCATGAATGTTTTAGGTCCCCACGCAGCACTCTTCTGGCACCTGCCTGTGCAGGAGCGGAATCGCGCAGCGCGAGCTCTACTGCCATGTTTTGGTGCAAGCCAGCCCTCTGCCGCGTCGCGACTCCAGCGATTGTCTTTGGACTGCTCTCATCGCGCCCTGCCTGGTTCCTGCGTGTTTCCTTGCGTGCCGGGTTGGCTGTTTTGCCCGATGGAAAATGGTGCCGCTTCCCATTGCTGGTGGATTTCGCACGCTGACCTCACAAAGCAAAACCCTGCACATGCAATTCAGGAAGTTTTGAAAGCCAATGTCTCTGCAGATGTAGTGGGTCCAGTCACAAGCACACAGCACATTCAGATTGCAGTCTCCGCTTTGCACCGTTGGTACCCACAAGGCCTCTTGATCCTACATAAGCCAGCGAGGTCCTGCTTGTTGTTTTTGCCCGGGCATGATGCTCAGCAATTTTCCCTCGTGGAAGCTGGGCAATGGCTGGATGCGTGCCCCCAGACACTCGCTATGTTATATACACAGAAGCATGCCCATAAACTTGGGCAATATGTGGCTTGCAAACTACATCGCGCTAATCCATCGTGCCTGCATAGTGGAATTTCGCCGAAGGTTGAAGCTGGATTGCGTGGTAGTGGAATCTTTACTGATCCCGTAACACCTGTGCCCGAATCCTCATGTCCTACAATGTCAAGCTCTTCGCTCCCGTTGTCGCAAAGCGGTGTTGCCACCGGTTTAGGTGTTCGAGCAGAAGGTGGTTTGGATGTTGACAGCCCTGCCTGGACGGGCGAAAACGAGAGGCCTTGCGAAAATCCACGCTGTCGAATCTGTTTTGGGTCAAGGTTTCCGCTCCGTCGCGCATCCTGTTCAGCAGCGATGTCAACGGCGGCGTTCACTTTGCCCTCAAAAGTTTTGCCCCAAAGCCTGCCTGCTTCTCATGTAAGTCCTGCTTTTGCGTCTTTCAATGTGCCTGCTTGTGTTCCTACCGTGTCACCGACATGGCCCTTTGATGTTGAGGAAGCTACCGTGTCACGGTCCGAGTCTGTCTCCTCTCCAGCCATGGGAGAGCCAATCTTTTCTGGCCCTCTAGAACAGTGCGTGCACCGTCAGGCTTCTGCAACTTGGACTTCTTTGCCTTTCTTCCCAAAATGGTTGCCCAAGACAATGCAACATCGTCATGAGGTCGCTTCCAATTCTTTGCCTTTCTTCCCGAAGTGGCGTCCAGCTACGGAGAACCTACCAGAGGCTCATGGAGGCATGATTGGGGACACACCACCTCCAGTGCACGCGTCGTCGTCCACATATTGGAACCTGCTAGTTGTGGGTGTCCCGGCTCCAATTGCTCGAGAAGCGGCCCGTCGGTTTTGCGACGATTTTGACGCTGCCTTGGATTGGGCATGTGCGTCTGACAGGCGGCACACGCGCGTTGAACCAGGTTACATTGATCTTGTGCATTCTGCCAGTGAGGATGGTTCTCCATGTCCCGGTGTGCCAGTAGCATCTCCTGATGCGCTCCCAGCTCCTGCTTTGTCATTGGCCGACGTTCATGTTCCAGCTCTCACTTCTGGTGTCGGCGCTCCTGCGCTGCCGCTTGTGCCTAGACCTCCTGCTTCTTGGACTATGCATACACCTTCTTTTGCCGCTTCCGCCGAACTCGGTCGTTTGCACAGTCCCCATGGTGCTGCTTCCTCGCATGCTGCTGCCAGTGACAAGGCGGAAGAGACCTTGACTTCCGGTGATCAGGACACCCTGCCCGGGCGCATGGGCATGGCCTGCTATGTTGACGACCCTTCTGGGGAAGTGCATGCATGGTTCTCCATACTTGCCAATTCCAAAGGAGACGCTGGCTTGGACAGTGGTTTTTGGGGTAGGATGCCTCTATATTCTCAATACATCGCAGAGCATAGTTTATGTGAAATTTTGGTCGAGTCTTTGAAATCTATTCAGAACCTTCGTGGATTGGATTTGTCCATTGAGCAAGCCGCCAAGTTTCCGCGTTCTCTTGGCCAGACAACTCTCCTTCCTTTGGCAGTAGCGTGCGAATACTTGCACGAAGGATGTGGCCTCCCGGCCATTTTTGCTTTCGATCTTTTCCAAGCTTGTTTGGCCTCTTGTCAGAACAAGGCTCTAGAGGTCGCCCTGTACGCGGACAAGTCAAAATCATTCACATGCAAAGCGCGGTGGTGGGCATGCCCCACCGGCGATCCAAACGCGGGGAAGTCTCCGACGTGTGCCTTTGTGATGAAAGCCTTTGCTAGCATGGTGGAATCCTTGCCTCACGCGTTCTGGCCAGATCAGCATTGGATTGGTGTGGGACTCCGAGCGTTGGACGGAACTCTTCTTCTGTATGGTCCTGAATCCAAACCCATTCTAGACCCAAATTTTCCAAGCAAGAAGACAGTGGACACTGGCAAGTTCTTGGACTTGACTAGGTGGCTTGAGTCAGCCAATGGAGGCCGCTTTGAGTGGGGGACTGGCGCCGAAGAGAACCTGCGACAAAAGCGCAACC